CATTAGTTTTATTTTAAATTCATTCTATTTATAAAGATAATATTATCAAATGTTTTTTAATAAATTTCAAAACTAAAAATAGAATAGAAATCTGATAGAAGTATATGAAGTATGAGGTGCACATGCAAAAGTTGCAGAGGTATTGGCCCAGGAAAAGAAATGACATTATTTTAAAATAAATGTATCTAAAAACTTTAGATAAGGTCAGGACACACAGTTCGTCCTTAAATGTGGAAGACAACTTAAAAGCTGGCAAAACACAACATCCTTAGGACCAGGGCTGCGTTAGCATTCTCTCTGTGGCACACTGACTTTGGGCATATTTCACTGTTCCTGGCACCTGTCTTGCTGACTCTGAGGGAGCAACAACAAACACAGTAAAGTCTTGTTACTAAGCTATCTTTGAGCCATACTAGATTGTGATTGATTCTCTTGTGTGTAATAGTGTGCTGGCCTTTTCCTTGGGCTTTTTTCACTGAGCAGTGGACAGAACAGAAGAAGGAAACATTTGATCACTTTGTAAAAACGCTGCACATTGCAGGCAGGGTTTAATTACTGAATGTGGCCACTTCCAGTGCATTGAAATGCCTCTGCCTTGCCTCAAAGCATTGTACCTCTATTCAAATGGCAAAGAATAGAGTTCCTGTAAGATTGTGGAGTGCAGCTCATTTGGGGAATAAACAGTTGCTTTGACCTTGTACCGGCAAATAGACCCCGTCAGGCCTGGAATTGCAAGGCCAGGAAATCATCTGTTTAGTCAGTGCTGGTTCTGGTGATTAGTTTGTGTTTATGGCTGGGAATTGATAATATAGCCCTGTGTATATGAAGCTAAGGTCTGAATACTAAAAGGGTTCTATTTACCAACAGCTTCATTTTTTATTTTAAAGTTAGTTCAAACTGAAATCAGCCTTTTAACCCTTAATTAGGAGCATGTTTTCTCTTAAAAGTCAACCACATTAGTCAACTGGAGACAAAATTCACTTTGCAATTGAAAGGCTGTCTACTTTCTTTCAACAGTAGCCACCATGGTTTACTGGGTGCATTTGTTTTCCTTTCACTATGGTAACTTTACCCATTCTCTGTATCAGCAGAGCTCAAACACATGAAAT